ACATTCCTCTCCATTCCCCCACCTATCGTCTCCCATTCCTCTGATCCTTACTGCCCCACATTTGCATTTTCATAGACCTGCATTTTACATATTGGCTTCCATTTTATCTAGGAGAGCACACAAACACCAACAGATTCTCCCTATTGCCTGAAGAAGGGTGTTTGTGCCTGAAAGCTTGCAAAGAACAATTTTTCCAACTATTTAGCTGGTCTAATAAAAGATATCATATCTATCCAAAGAACCTTGTTTGCCAGATATACGGAAGCCAATGTATATATAAAAGTATTACTCACATTTCAGAGATTATACATTAAATGATTTAATATACAACTATCAGATGGGATAGGTTTAAAAAAAATTGAAAAGTTGAATAAAATGATCAACTGAACCAATGAGATTTCTGTTATACACCCATCTCAGCAAGCTCAGGCTGGTTATCATCCCTAACCTGTTAACCATATTATCTATTGACCCAATATCCTATACTGTAGAAAGCTCTATAGGGAGAAAAGAATGGGTTCCAAAAACTTAAGGGTAGCATTTTCCCTAGAGGAAGAAGAGTTTGCAAACTTATCAGGATGAGAAGAAGGGCAACTGCAAACTCTGAAACACTGTAGAGTTAGAGAATGTGCACTGCTGTGTGGAAAGATCCCGGCTAGCTTGGATCAGCACCAGTATAACATCAGCACAGCACTCCCTCAACAGACTAATTAGCCTGGTGGGAGTGCTACCTTAAGAATGCTATACTGCTTCTAGTATGCAAACTAGATATTTTGGAGCTAGTTTTGTTTCTCTGCAAAGCAGTGCTTTATGCTGCATGAACATACTCTAAAATGGAAAGTTATTTTCAAACCTGCAGATCTCTGGGCATTCGTGCACCAAAGTAGTCCTGCCCAGCAGCATGACTAAATCACTTGTCATATTTTGCCACATAGACTGGTGGTTCCCAAATGTCCCTTCTATTAAGTCCAACACACTCTCCTAAACTTGCTGAGTATGGATAAGGCAGCATTTGTAGAAAGGGCCACTACAGGATTCTGGGAAGCACTGGTTGCTCCTGCCAGTTCTAGCCAGGTTCCACACAGCCAGGGACAGCAGCAGCAGTGGGCAGGTCCCTCCTCCCTACCCAATACCACTGGTGTTCCCTGAGAGTCCAGGAGCAGGTGCAGGAGAAGGGAACGTGCCCACCCCCCACTGCCACTACTGTCTCTATCCAAGATTGCCTCCACTTGCAGCCCAGCTGGGGTGGGGCAGGAGCAGCTCTGAATCTCCCAAACCACTCCCAGCTCAGCTGAGGACAGCAGCAGTGGTGGGCATAGGAAGTGGGGGATGTGCAGCTGAGCAGGGAGTGGAAGAAAAGAGGATAAGGGAAGATGGGGAAGGGGGAAAAAAGATAATTACCTGCCCAAGGGACTTAGAAAACAAAGCAAAACAAAAAAGGCCCCTCCTGCTGCTCCTGCAGCACGATCTGTCCCCTAGTGTGGGGGTGGGAAGTCTGAGAGCCAGCATGCAGCCCCTCTGCAACTCAGGTTGCTACACCCTCTTCCTGAAATCTAAGATCTGCCTATGTGTATGTTTATTTTTTATTAATAACATGGTTCCAACCTATATATAAAGATAAACTTAAAATGACTAAAGAATCATTTCAATATTTTCATACGAACCTTTAATCGTTTCACTGGGGGTACAGATGAAATTGAGCTTCTGTTCCTTAAGTCAGATAGGTATGAAGAAAATTTTGAATCTCTCTTCAACTCAGACTTCTGAGAAACTCCGATTTTACCTAAGAAAAGGAATGAAAAGAATCTTCCATTTAGTCAATGGGAGTTTTGCCACTAAAAACACCTTTATGATAATTACTGATGCATTTGTGTTTATACAAACTTATGAAAAGCTGAATATTGCTATTAAATGCTAGATATGTTATATAAAGTATTATATTGCATTTTATTACCCAGAGAATTTTTATCATTTTTCCTTTTTAGGTTGTATCCGATTAGCACTCTAAACAGGATTGTCTTACTTATGCTGTTTTTATGTCAATGCAACTACTGGCATGAACAGAATTTGTCTTAACTTGCCCTTGTGTAATAAAAAAGAAAGTAGGACCCTCCAAATTTAGATACGGGAAATAATGAAGTTTAAATGAAACTTACAACAGTCATGTCCACAGGTATCTTTATTCTTACAGTGATGGTTGCATTCTCTGTTTCCAGATCTTGTGTAGGAGACCTCTTGGTTACAGGTGCTTCCTAAATTAGTGCAATAAATAAATATTGACTTTTTAAAGCTCATTAATATTAATAGTACCTCATATAGTAAAAACAAGGCTCAAACTTATATATGATACTAGATCTTTGTTTACCCTCAAAACTTTTGGGTCAAAAACTCCATTTGCTGGCAGTCAGCCAGAAAAACTTCTTTGGGCTGGTCAGACTATTTCATTAGCAAACCAATAGCTATCCCCACTGAATACTGCAAGCATCCCCACTGAAGCCTTCAACATGTGCCAAGTATCCCAAATCCAAAAGTGCTCCCAAATCCAAATCCATAAGGAAACATATCCCTACAGAAACAAGTGCTCCAGTTGTATTGAATGAAAATTGACTTGATTGTTAACATCAAGTCAATTTCAAAGACAACATACAAAGACTATGTCTAATACACTTCCTGTCTTTAGTAGCAATGTCTTTCAGCTGCTCTAGGCAGGCTGCCTTCTAACAGTGCAACAGTATAGACATATCCACCTTGGTGAGCTAACTGTCTTGGGGTCAGGCCAATTGATGGCATCATTCAGCAGTGCTAATTAACCCAACTGAAGTGCTATGCAGAGATGGTTACACTGCTCTTGGTTTAAGAAGCAGCGCTCCCTAGAACACTGCAGTGACCTTGATGGTGTTGCTACCAGCAGTAGGAAGTTTACCATGTAGTCATTCCTAAATTCCTTAATATACTCCATTTGCATGAATCATGCAACGTATTACTCGACTATGAAGAGACATGAATAAATATAGGGCCCAAATCTTCTACTACTGAAGAAAATGACCAAGCTCCCATTGATAAGAGCAATAAGAAAAGGATGTGGTTCTTTATTAGTGTGTTATTTACCTGTATCTATTCTCACTGAAGATGCTTTTATTGAAGATGTGTGATATACATCAAGTGAAGACTCAGCATCTGATTTTCTGTGTACAACTACTTGATTTCCAAACCTTTTTGCTCCTAAGTAAAAGGCTGTATAGTTTTGCTGAATATCAAGCCCAACTTTCAAAGATAAAGACAAAAACAAAAAACACTTAAAATACATTTTAAAATATTTTCTTATGTTATCATTTACTTCCACAATGAGGGGAAACAGTATATAGTAGCTATTAACATGGCACCCAGGATTTTGATAGTATCATTTCTCAATTGTGGAAATACTGTAAGAGTGGAATGTTATGGTTGAGATCTTAAACACAGACAATTCAGGACATTTAAAAATATGGTTCCTGTAAAAATCACTTAGCTACGTGGCCAACCTGTGGCACATGTGCCACAAGTGGCATGGGCAGCCTCTGTGTAGGGCACAGAGATCAGAAAGGGGGCAGGCAGCACAGCAGCAGGTATGGTAGGAAGGAGAAAGCAGGGCAGCGGATTAGACA